CTATCATCCAACCCCCCCCCCCTTTCCCCCCCCCCCCCACCCTCCCACCCACCCTTCTCTTTTAATACCACTGCAGTTGAAATATCAAACTGCTTTAAAACAAACTGATGTACTCTTTAATATAGTCATCGCATCATCACAGGGTCCTCACTTGTCTGCCTTGGTGACAACTGCAGGGCTGCTTAGCTAAGCCAAGCAATGGCTGCCACTTTGTTGATCGCTTCAATGATTTATCACAAAAAGAAAGAGAGGGAGACGGTGAGGGTGAGATAGGAAGAGAAAGGAGCAGAGGAAAAGTAAAGTCCCCAGGATCACCATTCAGTCACTTGCAACTTTGATTGACAAGCTCTAATCAGCTTATCTCCGTCCTAATAAAGTTGATAGCCTGCAGAGCCGCTCTCTACCTGCCATGGTGTGAACTTCAGGCTAGACTGTGGCCCCCGAGGGCTGAGCTAAGACCGCGTCCTGCTTATCTAAGTGGGACTGAAATCAATCCCTAATGAGCTGTTTTCATTGTGCAGGATTGATTACAGGACCCACAACAACAACAACAAGTCGCGCTTTAAGAAAACCTCTCGGCTTCTGACTGGCAACCTTTAAAATGTGGCGCTTTGTTTGTTTATTTTTTATTTTGCTGCCATTCCTGTTATTTGTATCAGCTGAACTAACAGAGACAGGGATGAAATAATAAAGTAGCATCTCTTTATATTTACTTTTACATTTAAAAGCTCATGTAGGAAGTGTTGCAGCAAACGTAGAAACCAGCTCCTGTAGTGACCATGATCACATAGAAGGGCTTAAAATGCCTTGTAAATATAGATATGTTGATATAAACAAAACTGTCTTAAATTATCAAATGACTGCAGTACTACTACAGTACTCCAAGGTGTAGTCAAATAATTGATGACGACAACATTTATACAGATTTTTTTTTCAATTGAAAATTCATTAGAAATAAATATCTAGGTTTAGCATTTTTAATGTCAATTTAAATGTCTTTTTTTCATATTTTTTTGATGTTGTCATTGTTCCTTAATTTACAGTGAATGGAACATTTCTGGTAGAACTAAAAAATTTGTAGATGTGCTACGCAAAATTTCAAATAAGAAACAAGAGAAATAAAAATAATTATAAAAAAAAACTATAAGGATTTTGGTTAGCTGCAGTTTCACCAACCTGTAATTTTACCTGTAAAAGTGTAATCTATGTAGAAAAAATAAAAAATAAAATTGGTAAATGATAGTGTCAAACCTACCAAAGAATCTAACTCAGTCTTGCCTTTAAATAAATAATTTAAAAAACAGTGAAACAGCCAATCAATGCAACACAGACATCTTGCGTGACGTGGAATCCATTTCCAAACAAGCAATCATAAATCATTCAGTTTTTTTTTTCCTGGAGTGGAGGGAAAGTCTAAACTCTGACATGTCTTTGATTTTAACATCAGTCAACCCTCTATATTTAGGCATTTCAAATGCCCCAGACTCAAATGTTTTTAAATTGGGTAACTGCATGCCCTCCCTCTTTATTTAGGTCCCTCTTGAACTGGGCGAGCCCCCGTGTCTGCTTGTTTCCATGTCTGAGCTTGAAAGTCAGTGCTCCTCTCTAATGAACTTCTATACTTTATTTATGAGACAAACAGGGGACCCTGGTTCTTCAGGAATGCATGTGGTAAACAGTTCTTCGTGTCCCAAGATTTCTATCATCATCGAAGGGGCTTCCACGGCTTTTGTCAAGCTATGGTTTATTTTTAAAAACTATCGTTGGAACCACTAGAAATGCTGGGAAATAAAATTCAAATCGAAAGAAATTGTATTGACTTAAAAGTTAAACTTTTCCTGGAAACTAGTGCCCTTGGATTTTCTTCAAATGAGACCTATGAGCATCCTGGCTTTTCTGTTCCTGGTTATTAGGAGATATATTGTCTGAAAAGAAAAGAAGCAAAACTAAGAATCTCTTTTTTTCCAGGATCTTTCTCTTTGAAACTAAATGTCCTTTAGTTCTCCTTCTCCTTTCGGTCAATTACAATTGTGAAGGGATTTTCCTGTGCTTTTAGACTGAAACTTCAACTTTGAATTACAGCAAAAAAAATAATGATGCTAAAGCGAAAATCATAAAAGAAGTAGCGTAGGTGTCTGAGGAGGGTTGAGGTTCGTGGCAAGGAAAGCAATAACATTATGACTATGGAGTGTCTGATTGTGGAGAAATACTTGGCACTAATGTTTAACATCAATGGAGGATGCAGCCCTGGCTTTGAACCTCACGGCTAATTGTCCGTAAAGAAAGTGTGCTCCAACTTTTAATGTGCTGCTGTTTAAAAGAGTGCAACAATGAATGCAAAAATATTTGACTATGAAATGAAACATTTAGACAACAACAACAGTGGTGAACGGCGTATGAATATTTGTTTTTCCAATGCAGGTAAATGGTGAAGATATAACAGATGCCTGCAAAATGAAGTGGCAAGCTACAGAGACAAAAAGTATAAATGTACTCATCTAAAATGGTCAAACAAAACTAAATAAGAAAGCAAAGTGCAGGTACGTTATAAACATGATGTCCTGACCACATGGGTTTATTTGATCTGAGAGCTCCACATCAACAGGAATTAGTCTGGTGGAGAAGTGCATGTCCACCATGTAGCTATCTTCTTTGTTCGGATGTATTCCTGCCCTAAACCCGGAGACACTGTCATTTCAGGTTGTGCAGCTGAGCGGAGGGTTGGTATCGACAGCAGTGTAAAAGAAGGGGTCATGGATTAAAGAGGCAGGGGCGAAGCTTCCCCACCAAACCACAAATACACCCCACAGCTGCTGTGGACCGAGCCAAGTGTGTGGGACCGGTGCAGGATAAACGAGCATTGTTCTTCACTCAGTGAACACGCAGTGGATGAGACAGCCAACAGTGACACAGGGTCAGGGGGCATGTGGCCCACTACCGCAGGAGAAAGTGCCGGGGCCCGGGAGGTAGTGAGCACTTTTACACACGGCCCATTTCTTAAACACCAGGCGTGCTGAGTGTCGAAACATCAAAACGCGGCAGTGGAAGTGAAAGATACAACTCTGCAGAATTAAAAATGTGTCGGCTGTCGCTGAATTTGACGCAGGTCTAGAAACCGGAATCATCCGAGACATTTGAAGCAACGTTTTTTTTTAAAACAGGGAATGCTGATTGTATTTACGAATCTGTGCGAGTAACAGGGAACATCAAAAGCCGTTTGTCCGTGTGTGAAACCTTCCTTGACTTGAATTATTAAATCAGTCGATGTCGCACATGCCAGCCACCCCGCGATTATAGTGTAAATTGACAAACTTTTTCGAACTACAACGATGCCACAGAAAGCAGGTTGATACTTGAAGAAGCAGCTTTGATACATCTCTGAGGAATACACCGTGCCTCAATAATGTGGCGACTGTCAGGCTGGAAGACAGGGGGTGGGAGGGGGGATGTGCTAACTGGTTAAATCTATTTAGAGTTCCAATGAGCTTTTTCCTATTTTAAGATTTGAAAAATCATCTGTCTTTTAAGAACAAAAATAGACTTTTTTTTTTAAATGAGCTTTGCTTAGAAAGTAACATTTTTTTTGTTCTTGCGTGCTTTCATTTGTATCCCTGAATTAAGAACTTGAGAACGCTGATATTTATTTTCATAGACTCCCTGTTTATATTAAACAAATAGATAAATAATAAATAAAAAAAACTCACCTATACAACATGCACACACAACACACAGCTATGGCAATTCATGAATTTTCTTAGCAAGAACAGCAAGGGGAAGCGGGGCCTGATCTGTCGCCTGTACACCTCTATTCTCTCTCTCTCCATGCTCGGCCTTTGATGTGCTCCCGGAAATGTCATCAGGCGTCAAGGAAAGAGGTTTTTTTTTTTTTTTTTTTTCCTACCCCCAACCCTTTCGCCCTCCCTCCCCCCAACACACACACACATAAACACGAGAGTTCACCTACCTGGTATATGAGCAAGACAATTTGCCTTCATTCGCTCATCCTCACCGCTATCTCAACCCACCCCCACGCACCTCCACCCAACTCCTTCTAAACCCAATCCAAAACCTGAATACATACCAGTCTCCACTGCTATCTGGTAGCCGGCCTCCAGTCTCCGTGATGACCTTTCCAGCTTCTCTGTGTTGTCCAACAGATGTGCTCTCTGCAACAAATAGAGAGGAACAAAATTAAGCCAGGAAAACAAACGGGGTGGGGGGTCTGGGGGGGAGTTATTGATTGAGAGGACTGGGAACCATTTCAAAGAAACACATCAGCACCGTCACCTAAACAGACCCACCACATTCACAGCAACAACACAACACAGCCAGGTTGGCAATAACCTTCACGGATGACAATGTGTTCTATGCAGATGGAATATATCAGGCCTGTGCACGCTGAGGCTAACAATAAGAGCCGCGGCTAAATTATCTTGGACGTGAAAATATCAACGACTTTGGGTTTCTTTTGTATGTCTGTTTGTGTTTTTGTTTTTGTTTTTTTACATCAGAGTGACCTGCTGTCATAGTTAAAGTTAAAGCAGATGAATACAAATTCCATTTTAGGCATTTTAAAAGACAATCAAGTTTGGGAAAAGTTTACAAGATTAATTATATAATTTAGAATAACCTTAAAGATGGTAGTATAACGGTACTTTAATTACAACATAAAATGCATATGCAAGTATGTTTGGTTTACATGAGCAAATGTAGCTTGGCCATTTGAATAGTAGCTGTCAAGCTGTGTCTGGACAACGCTGATGAACAACCTTCCATAACATTCCATAGTATAGATGGTAAACTAAACAGCAACAAAACACTGAAAAAGTAAACACAAACAAACAAACAAAAACCCTGTCAATTTCAATTTCGTGCTCCTCGTTCTTTTAACATTAACGGACAACCCCTGTGATCCATGATGCATGAGTCGACTACATCCCCTGCTGGTTTGAACGCAGCGATCAACAATTGACAAGCCTTCCCATTGAATGAAGGTATGATGTTCTGAGAGTACAAGATGTTCAAGAAAGGTGAGTTTCATGAAACATTAAATAAGCAAATGTGTGTATGCTGGTGAGTATCAAGGTGTTTGCTCAGAATCCAATATCAACTGACACTTTTTCTTTAGTTACCAAGGATAAAAACCATGCCTTTTATGTTCTAATGTCTGACAAGCACAGCAAAGAGAAAGATCTGACATGTTGACTGATGGCCTTGACTTCCTTCTCGGGGACTGTCACATTATGGTTTTAGTCCATTGTCTTCACTTATCCAATTATTCCACTATATGCTTTCAAAAAAAAGTTTGTAAGTTTTACAAAACTCAAAGTTTTAGTCATTTTTATGAACGGGGTCATTTATATTGGTCTTTGGCAGGGCCTTTGTTTTTCTTCAGATTAGTTGCCCAAACTATGCTATTAGCTAAATGAAGAACTTTTTTGAAGGACGCTCTCTTTCTGTCTGTCCCGTGGCAGGTGCCAAGTAAGTGGATCTGAGAATCGAACTACCTGCTCTCTGCTTCCAAGGAAGCCATGCTAACCCCTACACTATGGATCCACTTATATATATATATTTATATATATA